CCTCGACCAAGTGACGCAGCTCATTGCCAAGAGCAAACAGCTCGTCGGGCCCTTTGACATTGTCGTGGTGCGTTGTAGATGTGCGTGTGTGCGTGTGTGCGTGTGTGTATGTGCGTGTGTGTGTGTGTGTGTGTGTGTGTGTGTGTATGCGTGTATGTGTGTGTGTATGTGCGTGTGTGTGCGCGCGCGTGTTTTCGTGTGTGTATGTGTATGTGTGTATGTTCCTTATTGTGCGTGCGCGCGCGTGTGTGTGTGCATGCGTGCGCACGTGCATGTGTGGATACACTCATTTGTGCGTGCGCACGTGCATGTGTGGATACACTCATTTGTACGTGCGCAGTTCGTGCAGCCCACAGCTTGAGCAATTCGCATGCACAGCCAACCGTCCACCCCACTCCTGCTCCCTCCATCCCTCCCTCCCTCCCTCACCCCCCACGTGTTGTGTCTTGCAATGCCGGTGCCACTCTTCATCCATTCCGCAATGCTGCTACAGCTCAACCACATCAAGCCGTACTTCCAGTTGTTCGAGGACACGGATTTGAAGACGCTGCGCGAGGTTGTGGACGTCGACCTGTACTCCTACATCACCATCACCAAGTTGCTGCTTCAGGAGCTCATCGCCCGCGACGCCACCCTGGTTGCCGTGTCGTCAGCGGCAGGGAAGATTGGCGTACCGTATGCGGCCGTCTACTCTGCATCCAAGCACGCCCTGCACGGCTTCTTTGATTCGCTGCGCCTGGAGGTGTACATGACCCACCCGTCCTCCAAGATGAGCATCACCACCTGCGTCATTGGGAACATTGACACAGAGTCGGCAAAGCGCGTCACCGCAGGAAAAGTGCGCCACCCAACACGCGCCTCTCCAGACGACACCGCGCTTGCCATTGTCACGGTCAGGGTGTATCCATGTGTGACTTAACGCATGTCGTTGTGTCTATGGATGTATGTATGTATGTATGTATGTATGTATGTATGTATGTATGTATGTATGTATGTATGTATGTATGCATGTATGTATGTTTGTGTGTGTGTATGCATGTATGAATGCATGCATGTATGTGTATGTATGTATGTATGTATGTATGTATGTATGTATGTATGTATGTATGTATGTATGTGTGTATGTGTAATGTATCTACGCTATCACCGAGAAAACGCTACAGCATGCGTCCCTCTAAACAGCTTCTCCGCCTCACCTTACCCCACGCACTCGCTCGCTCGCTCACTGCGCCATCCATTAATTCACTCATGCAGGGGGCGCTGAGGAAGCAGCGAGAGGTCTATTTCCCGCGTCTGGAAGTGACGCCCATCCCCTATCTGCGCGCCTTCTTCCCATCTCTCACAGACTACCTCATTGTCAATTCCATGGAGGCCCCACCCAATCGCGACTCCTCCCTCCCGAGCGGTGCCGGCGCAAACTAGACGAAGACAACACACACACACACACACACACACACACACACACACACACACACACACACACACACACGCACGCACACACACACACACACACATACACACACACACATACACACACACACATGATCCGTGCATCGTTTGCCTTTCCCCGCCCCCCACTTCATTGCAATGTGCTTTGATTGCGCGTTACGTGCTGCTTCAAGCCCTCTCTTTTGAGTGGTTGTGAGTGCGGCCAATACATGCCCGGCTGTACTCGCGAGAACGGTGGCGCTGCGAGACGGCACAGCGAAGCAGGACCAAAACAACAGCCGCGAATGAGACAAAACCAAAAACACAGAAAGAAACAAAAGGAACCAAGAGAAACGATGATCCTAAGTGTTTGCAAAGTGCCTGTCTCTCCCACCACACATGCACACACACACACACACACACAACACAACACAACAGCACAACACAACACAGCCAAGCTACGGGAAAACGTGGTCGAGTTAGATCTTGGTGACAAAGTCGAGTTTGATGGTGGGTGGAATGTCCAGTGTCGGAAAGCGAGGCGAGGATGGCGTAAAGGGGAAGGTAACAGGGTGAATGAAGCTTGTGTCCAACAGCAGCTTGGTGCCGCCGCCGGCCTCTGCGTCCACACGTGCCTGTGCTGCCCGAATCAGCGCAGCCGGCACACGCTCCTCAAAGTCCTCGGGCGTGTACATCTGCAGCACCTTCTGGATCTGCAGCGGCTTGAGCTTCGTGCACGTCTCGAAGATGGTGTCAATGTCATCCGGCTTGGACTTGTTGCACTGCAGCAGCTGCGTTATCTGCACCGCCTCCACCAGGCTCGAGCAAATCTGCTCCAGGTTGTGGTCGCGCGCCCAGTCCTCAAGCTTGGAGATGTTGTAGCGCACCTGCATTCCCTTTGTCAGGCGAACAAGGTCCTTCCGAAGCAGCAAGTGGTTGCACATGGTGGCGTTGATGATGTAGAAGAGCTGGCGGAACACCTGCTGCACCAACCGCGGCTCAACGCAGTGCTCGGTCAACAGCCCGTGCACGCGCGTCAGCAGGCGAAGAATGTCCTCCACCTTGCAATCAACCTTCGAGCGCCCGCGCCGCCGCGAGGGCATCGACGTGTTGCTCGTCGGCAGTGACTCGTGCTCAAGCATGCCCGGCACAATCATCCCTGCAAGCTGGTGCTCAATGTGCTTCACCACAAAGTGGTAAATCTGCACCAGCAGGTCCGACAGCACAATGCGGTACTCCTGAAGGTCAAACGTCTTGAGCGTTGCAGAGTCCTTGTCGTCCGGCGACGCAAACTGCGGCTCGCCGCTAAACTGCTTCATGTTCGTCAGCAGCCGGTACCCGTTGGCCAGCCAGAAGGCAAGGCGGCCAAGGTCCGCCGCGTTGTCCTGCACCACATTCTTCATCGCCGTCATGGCCTTTGTCAGCAGCCCTTGCAGCATGGACGCGTTCTCCTCGTAGTCCGCGTACAGCACGCACATGAACAGCAGGTGCGCAGGGATGCACGGCATGCACCCGTCCACGTCCGCTGGCTGCAGCTTGCTCACCAGCTCAGACACCACGCGCTGCGTGTCCTTCTCTTGGAACTTGAGCATCCCCAGCATCTGCTTGCGCTGGTGCAGCTGCTGTGAGCCTGCGCCATGCGCGCCGCTGCCACCGTACGACTGATGCTGCTGGTGCTGTTGCTGATGGCCATCGCCAACACCACCTCCTGCACCGCCACGGCCGGGCTGCTGTGCGCTGCCATCACGACCGCCACTGCCACTGCCTGGCGCCGCGCCGCTGACGTCGCCGTTCAGGGCGGCTTGCAGTCGCTCCTCCAGCACCTCAATCTGCTCGCGCATGGCCAGGTTCTCGTCAATGAGGATGCGCACCTCCTCCTGCAGCAGCGCCCCGTCCGACGACGCCGAGCCAGACTCCGCAGGCATCTGCCGCGTCAGCGCCTGCTTCAGCGCCAGCACGCGCTCGTTGGTCTGCTTCTTCTCCGCCTGCAGGTCCGACACCTCCGCGCGGGCCGCCGTGAGGTCGTGCTCGTAGTCCTTCACCCGCGAGCGCAGGCTCTTCAGCTCCTCCTCAAGCCCGTGGTTGCGCTGCTGCAGATCCGTCTTCGCCTTGGCAAGGTCCTCCATGCAGTGGTCGGTCATGAACCGGTTGTAGTCGTCCTGCAGCGCCCTGAACTGCTTCAGCAGCTGCTCGTAGTCTGCCTGCGCCTGCTCCAGCTCTGTGCGCGACACCAGCCCCGCCCGCTCTCCCTGCAACTGCTGCACGTGCTGCTGCAGTGCCGCCACCTCCTGCTGCAGCACCTGCGGGTCCAGTTCGCCGTCGCCGCCCGTCAGCCGCTTCAGCCGCGACTCCGCAGACACCTTCGCCTTCTCCAAGGCCTGCACCTTGTCATTGAGCATCCTGTTGGCCAGCTGCAGCCGAGCAATGTTCGTCGAGGCCTCGCGCAGCTCCGCCTGCAAATCACGCTGCTCACCCTCTTCCTTGTCCTCCTTTGAGTTGCCACCTGCATTGTCGGCAACGTGGTCATGGTGCTCGTCGCTGCCCGCGGTGGCGGCACCGTCACGACTCTCCGTGCTCTCTTCTGCCTGAGTGGTGGTGCCCTGCGCTTGTTCTTCAGCAGTGCCTGCCTCTGCATTTTCTTCCGCCTTCGAGGACGATGTGCTCCCACTTCCGGCCTCACCCTCACCTTCACTGCCACTGCCACTGCCACTACTTCGCTGGGCTGCAGCACTCTTGCCCTCGCTCGTCTTTGCTGCTGCTGCTGCCGCCGCTGCCACGGTGGGGCTCTGTCCTGCGAGCATGAGTTCTTTGTTCTCCCTTCAGCTCCTCCATCTCCGCCGTCAGCTCCTGCTCCCGCTGCACGGCCGCAGCTGCTGCAACGGCCAGCGCATTCTCTGTCTCAGACTCGCCCTCCAGCTGCTCGCTTTCTGACTTGGTCTCACCAGCAGCTGTTGCCGTCGCTGTTACCGTGGCTGTCTTGCCTGCTGCCTGGCCTTCTACTTCGACCGGCTGCTGCTGCTGCTGCTGCTGCTGCTGCTGCTGCTTGTGGAGCCGCTTCGCCTCGGCCTCGGCTGCAGCGAGGTCGCTGCGCAGCTGCTGGATGATGGCGTTGCTCGCTGCCTGGTCCAGCTCCTCCCCAGCGTCGACGCTGCTGTTCAGCTTGCTGGGCGAGACGCGCCCGCCAACCTCCATGTACTCGCCCGTCGCCGCCGTGTGCGTGCGGCCATTGGGGCTCTGTGGCCGCACCTCCACGTACTCGCCTCGAGCGCCACGATCCACGCCATCGTCGTTGCCGTCGTCGTCATGAAGGGCCTTCATCTCCGCCCGCAGCAGCTCGTGCTCCAGCGCCTTCACTCGCTCCTCAGCCTCCGCTTGCGTCTGCAGACCACCATTGGTTGGTTGTTGGGCGTTGGGGGTTAGGGTTGGGTGGTGGTGAAGTGGGTGAATAAAGGGTGGTGGAGTCGTTGAGCAAGGGGTGGGGAAGTGGTTACGGCATAGTAAAAGAGCGACAGAGGAGGGAACCCCACGACACGACAGCGACACGACACGACAAGACATGACACGGTAGCAAGTGCACGGGGAGGCGCGGGTGCCGACCTTAATCTTGAGCTGGAGTGCTGCGCGCTCGTCTGCAAGTTCCGACTGCAGCTGCATGTTGCGACGGTTGAGTGCCTCAAGCTGCTCTGCCAGCCCTTCAGACCCCTTTGCCGCCTCTGTCGTCATCTGCAACGTCTGCGTCATCTCTTCCAACTACCACACGTGCAAAAAGGACATATGTGAGGGGTCAGGGAGAGCCAGGTGCGATGGGTGGGAAACGCGTGCGGTTAATGACAATGCGAGCGGTCAAAACTCCCATCTAAACGAACGTTAACGGGACGAAAACACGCACACACACATACACGCGTGCACGGACGTACATACACGTTGACAAACAAATGACTGTTACCTTGGCTTTGAGCGACTGGTGCTCCGCTGCTGCCGCTGCTGTCTCTTCGTCATATTTGCTCTGCAGCGCATCGCGCTCCGTACTAGTGGACTCAAGTTCCTGTTCCAACTCGTCGTTGCGCGCACGCAAGCGCTCAATCTCCGAGGCGGATGCCTGCGTGCTTGTGCTTTCCTTGGCCTCGGCAGCAGCCAGCTGCTCCTTCAGGCGGGCAACCTCGGCAGCCTGGCGATAGCAACAGCAATGGCAGATGGTGACACGGAGGAATGACAACGCGCAGACAAACCACCACGACACGTTGATGAGCACATGGATTTGTCCACGCACGCGCACAACTCCAAACATGCTCGCAATGACACAATGTACACACACACACAACACACGCAAACACAAACACAACACACACACACACACACACACACCTGTTTTTCGTGGGCCTCTTGGATGCGGCGGTCCATGGTCTGCTGCAGCTCGAAGATCTTCTTCTCGAGCCCAACCGTCTTGGCCTTCATCCCCGCCACGCTCCGCGCCTCAATCTTCAGCTGCTTGAACACGCGTCGCGCAAGCATCTGCCGGACTGCACACTGGATGGTGACGGCTGCGTTGCGTTTGGTGAGGAACTGTCTGCGTACGGCCCACATGCGCCACGTGCTCTGTATCTTCAGCGCAGCCGCCTCCCGCCGCAGCCCAGACAGCGCACGCCGTGCCTTGAGCGCTGTGTGTGTGTGTGTGTGTGTGTGTGTGTGTGTGTGTGTGTGTGTGTGTACGTGAGGAATGTGCTGAAACGCGACAGCATCGCTACCAACACACCACCATCACCACACCTCCATCGCGATCGCCATCACCACACCACCATCTCGTACCTCTGTACGCGGCCTGCAAGCGAACAACGGCAGCCATGGTGACGGCATACTGCCTGCGCTGGCGGTGCGCGCGGAATGTGGCCTGGATCTTGGTGGCGGCCGCTCGCTCTCGCAGACGCTGTGCCCTCACCCGCGCCAGCAGCCCGCGCCCGTACGTCTAAACAGTGTTGGCGCGCAAGCAGTGCAAAGGTGCAGCGGGGAGGGGGATGCATGGTGTGTGTGTGTGTGTGTGTGTGTGTGTGTGTGTGTGTGTGTGTGTGTTGATGTCGGGTCAATGTGAGTACACAGGGCATTATGATTGGCCCATGAAGGCGAAAGAGACGTGTTGAAACAGCACCGGTTAATGACGAATTCACTCTACACAACTTGCATCCCCGTGACTGCCACAACAGCGGGCCCGACCTGGACACCAAGGGCGGCCGTCTTGATGCGCTGGTAGCGACGCGACGCAAGCCATCGCCGCACGCATGCTTGGATGCGCACGCAGCACAGCTTCATCTTGTCCGACCGCAGCTTCTCCAGGTACGCGACCTGGCCCGCGCGAAAGAACAGCTTCGTCTGCCCAAACTGATACTTGTCCTCATCCTAACGGCCGTTGGGGGGGGGGCGGTGAATGAATGCATTGCGTTGGACAGCATAAGCCAAGCGAACATCGACGATGCAAACAAAAGTGCGCACGCATGTTCACGCACACACACAAACAACGCCCATACGAACACAACCCACTTCTTGCCCCCACCCGCCGGATCACCCAAAAGTGGACTCACGGCGATGAGAGGCTGCAGGATGGCGCGACAGGCGTCCTTGACCTCTGCGCTCTTGAGCGGCGCTGCAGATGTGGCGAGCAGACGATAGCGGTCAAGAAACTCCCGGTAGCTCCAGCGCGAGGGGTACCCCGCAGCGCTGATGCGAATCGTCTCAAGAACACCGCACGCTCGCAGCTGCTGCACGAGCCGCCTGTGTGTGTGTGTGTGTGTGTGTGTGTGTGTGTGTGTGTGTGTGTGTGTGTGTGTGTGTGTGTGTGTGTGTGTGTGTGTGTGTGTGTGTGTGTGTGTGTGTGAGTGAATGTGTGTGTGAGTGAGTGTGTGTGTGTGTGTGTGCACGCGCGTGAGTGTGTGAATGAATGTGCGAATGTAATCGATAAGACGTGAAAGAGAAAGCAGGTGCAGCGCACGTGTGATGTGCTCGACAGCTCAAACATCAAAACAAACGCGAAGCAGACCAAGGGCAAAACGTACTGTGGGTTGATCTCGAATGGCTGCTTTGCGTCGTTGGGCTTGATGCACCTCACATAATGCGGCTCGGTTGCATTGAGCGTCTCCATCAGCGACCTGTTGTTTGCCGACAGCCGCAGCACGGGGACATGAGACATGATGCCCGATGACTGAGACAGCTAGCGTACAACGCACATCACAAACCAGAGAATGCACAAGTACACCCACTCACAAACTCATGCACACACACAACACATGACACGCACTACACAATTCACAGCACCAACACAACAGCACACGGCACACATGCGACGTACGAGAGCGAGTTCTTGAACTGCGAGCTGACAGTCGCTTTGCGGATATCGATGGATGCCTTGCCCTCGCCCTTGGCGGCAAACAGCTCTGCAATAAAAGGGCTCGTGCTCCCGCGAAGCATGATCAGATGCTCCTCGTAAATCGTGTCCTGCACGGCGTGGACGACGAGGTTGGTGTGGCAAGTGAGGTCGGGGTGGAGATATGGATGGCCCATGCAAGGGAATGGTCGTCCCGTCCCCGGAACAAAGATTACACCGCAGCAAGCATCACATCAATGGAACATGGCACGGATACGCACACACACACACACACACACACGCACACACGCACACAGACGCACGCACACACACGCACACGCGCGCACACGCACGCACACACACAAACACACACAAACACGCGCGCACACGCACACACGCACGCGCGCGCACACAGGGCACGGATGTGCACGGACCTTGTTCTTCTCCATGAAGCCTGTGACCTCGTATGCAACCTTGTCGGCATAGTGCTTGACGATGAACGACGTGTTTGACAGCCGCGGCTTCTCAAAGTGGTGCCGGTCGGTGAGGGATGCGTACATCTTCGTTGCCCAGTTGTCGTCGCTCCCTTTCGGCATCTGGGTGCGTTTGTGGTGAAAATAGTTGGACATAACAGACATGCGTGAGCAGGGAGAGGGGGTGGACAAATGAGGAGGCAGGTGAGCACACGAACACATCAAACCAAGCATGGTGAGCCATGCAGCGTGCGTTTGTATGCGTATTACGCATTCCCACACGCAGACGGACAAGCTGCTCATGTGGACATGCGCAACCATGCGTATCGACCTTTGTTTCCTCGTCGAGTAGGGAGAGCACACCAAGCTTGTCCTCGATCAAATCAATGCACGGCTGGTTGTCGTAAAAGTCAATAAACGACCACTGAATCTTTTCCTTGATGTACTCGTCTGCCAACACAGCAGCACGACGCAAGACCAGCAGCACGCTTGATCGTGAGAGGCGTCGCAAGGCGGGAGCAGCAGCAACTGTGCTGCCGAAGCGACCTTCACACTCTTCGCCACAAACACGCGTGCACACACATACACACACAGCGAGACAGTACAAAGCACACGCACACTACAAGACACACACCACACGCCACACAACATGCAAAGACATCATACAACACAGACAGCACACAAAGCACACCTTGTTCAAGCTTGAAGACGTGGAGGTTGAACTGCTGCTGCAGCTTCTCGTTTGCGTAATTGATGCAAAACTGTTCAAACGAGTTGACCTTGAAGGTCTCAAAGCCGTAAATGTCCAACACGCCGATAAAGCGCTTGTCCTTCTGCTTCGACCCGTGCGCGAGACTCTGGCATGCGCGAAAGCGGACGTGGGGTGTGGGGGTGTTTCGATGAGTTGTGAGCATCAAACAGTGGGTGTTGGGGCATGATCCCAGACAGCACTGCGATCACATTTCAGGTGCCACCACACACACATGACAAATATTCACACAAATGATAAATCCACATAGACACACACACACACACACACCACCACCACCACCACCACCACCACCACCACCACCACCACCACCACCACCACCACCACCGGTATGCACTCACCTCGTTGATCCTGGAGACGAGCCAATCGAAGACGTGTGCGTAGATGTGTTTCGCCAGAGCATCGCGCGCCCGCAGCGCATTGTCCGCCGTCTGCGGCTTTGTGAAGACCTGGAGGGCAGTGTAGTGCAGTGCGGTGGGACGGAGTGGAGGGGGTCGCGTGTATGGTGTGTGCATGTTGTGTGCGTGTATGTGTGTATGCGTATGGTTGCGTGTATTGTGTGGATGTGTGCGTGAGTGGGTTGGATATTGCAAGTGGGCAGCAAGCAACAAGGCACACACAGCACATTTAGGAAGACGTTGAAATGTTGTGCATGCACCTCGCGGCCAGTTTGGATCTTTCTGTGGGTGATCCACTTTGTGAGCATGTTCGCCTCAACACCAAGCAGGCGCGATACGACTGCCAATGCACACATTGAAGAAACAAACACGCGCACACACATACGTGTCCAGGTCGAAACACGTGAGCAGTCATTTGAGCAGTCACGTGAGCAGTCATGTGCACAAACAACAAATGCAGTCACACACACACACATGCATGCACACATTCATACACACGCACGCACGCACACGCACACGCACACGCACACACATGCATGCACACATACATCCACGCACATGCATGCACACGCAAGCGGCAGCAAACAGCTGCCAGAACAGGGCCGGCAGACCTGGGACGTGCGTGTCCTCGACGGGGATGCGGGCATCGTCGGAGCGGCGGGAGCGCTGCTTGATCTCAATGTTGCCCATGTGCAGAATGGCAGCGAGGATGCAGAAGATCTGCAGTCGAAAACAACGTCCACAGCGATGAAAAAGGGGGGGGATGTTGTGATTACATGAGCGCACACACACACACACACACACACACACACACACACTCTCTCTCTCTCTCTCTCTCTCTCTCTCACTCACTCTCTCTCTCTCACACACACACACACACACGATGCGTTTCTACACAGGCACAAAATTGCGTACAACCACAAACAGAAAACACACTTTGCACAGTACACGTGTGCACAGACAACATCAACCCTGCCACCCACCACCAACCCTCTCCCCTCTCCCCTAAAGCCCCTTGTCCCTCTGCTGCCAGGCCACCTGCTGCTGGTCGTCATCGGAGATGCCTAGGAGGGAGAGCGCGTCCTTCGTGCGTTCAAAGTCCGCGGCGTCGTCGACATTCTCAATCTCGGCCTCCTCGCCCTGGTTGGTGTAGAAAAAGTCATCTGCCTCGCTCAGCTCAAGCGCCTCCAGCTCCGGCCGATCAGCACTCGCGCACAGCTGGTAGAAGATGTGGTAGTTGCGCTCAGACTTGGCCTGGAGTGGTGCGTGGTGGGAGTGGTGGGACGGTGGTGTGATGGTGTCAGAGGTGGCGGTGGATGGCGTGAAAACTACAATAGGGGGAAGGACAGGCTTCATGGCCCGCTGATTGCGTGCCATTTGCACAACAACAAAACGAACGCGCACACACACACACACACACACACACACACACACACACACACACACACACACACACACACACACACACACACACACACACACACACACACACACACACACACGCATGCACACCTGGAAGACGACGCGGGACTTTTCGAGGAGATATGTGCGCATCTCTGCGCCGATGATATGGTCGTGCTTGTTGAATAGAATCTCAATGTACTTGCCAAAACGGCTGCAGATGGCACCACGTAGCATGGGCGCACAGGGGATGGTCGGGCGTTAGACAGGGCACACATCATAACTGTATTGCATGAAATACACGCACGCACGCACACACGTACATACAGCACACAAGCACGCATGCAACCCACAAGCACACGTGCAGCACACAAGCACACCACCACCACCACCACCACCACCACCACCCTCGCCAGTTGTCATGCTCGTCGTACCTGCTGTTGTCGTTCCTGATGGTCTTTGCGTTGCCAATGGACTCCATGACGGGGTTGGATGCAAGCACCTTCTTCTCAATCTGCGTCTCTGCCTCTGCGCCACCGACGGTTGCAAAGTAGCGCATGGCATACTTTGCCGACACGGTTTTCCCCGCGCCAGACTCGCCGCTGACAATGATGGACTGGTTCTTGCTGTGCCGGCCCATGCAGCGGAACGCCTCCTCCGCCACGGCGAAGATGTGCGGGTCCAGCTCGCCGAGCGACCGCCCGCTGTAGGCGTGGATGATGTCGTTGGAGTAGATGGGCAGGCTGCTGTAGGGGTTCAGCGCCACAAGCACAATGCCGCAGTACGTGTAGATGGTTTGCTGCTCCTTGAAGCGCACTTGCAAGTTGTGCACCACTGCGTGTGGTTGACAAGAGTGCGCAAACCGTGAGCTTCCGAGAAGGCACGTGTGTGTGTGCAGTGTATGTATGTGTGTGCGTGTGTGTACATGTGTGCGTGTGTGCAGTGTGTGTGCATGTGTACACAAGTGTGTACTTCGCTGTGCGTGTGTGTGTGTGTGTTGTGTGTGCAGTGTGTGTGTATGTGTGTGTATGTGTGTGTGTGCGTATGTGCAGTGTGTGTGCGTGTGTGTACATGTGTGCGTGTGTGTACATGTGTACACATGTGTGTACATGGCTGTGAGTGTGTGTGCGTGTGCGGTGTGCGTGTATGATCATGAGAGTGCGCTATATTTGGGACCGACGCACCTGCTGGCTCATGCAGGTAGCTGAGATCTGTGAGATCATCCGATCCAACGAGGATGTCGGGGTTTCGCAGCGGCGGCAGGTTGCTGTCATCTTCCTTCACTGCCACCTGCTGCTCCTGCACACGACCAGACAACCACAGCGCACGTGAGAGCAGCAGGCAAGAAGACAACAAGCGAGCGAACAAGCAAGCCAGAGAGACAAATTGAGGAAAGCAAGCAAGCAAGCCAGCAGAAAACCGAACAAAGAAGGCTTTGGCACAAGATGGACACAAACAAACGCACAACATGATACCAAACGCAGCCACATGTGTTTCCACATGTCCACATTCCCGCCCACAACCAGCCACCAGAGTCACTGAACCTGCATGTACCTCGCCATCCTCTGTGCGCAGGGTGATGGCACGCTCCTCCGTGTTCAATGCCTCGACAACCGCAGGCTTCCACACAAGCTCGTCGTGCGGGACCCATACCCGCGTTCCCTGCACAAATACAAACACACATTGGACATCATCAAGCGGGTGAGCTCCAGAGGGCACCAAGAGCACACGGTGCTGGTGCGAATCAAAACATTGTCGCATCATCATGTCCTCCTGTGCCGTGCCGTGACACGACGAGCAAGGAGGGGGCCAGCGGAGGGACATCACGTACAACCCATACGGCTCCTTCCACTCTCCTTTTTGGGTGCTTGCTTCCTCCTCCCGGCTTCTCAAGCACCACCATCGCCCAACCCTCCAACCCACAAGACACACACACACACACACACACACACACACACACACACACACACACACACACAAGACACATACAAGGCACACACACACACAAGACACATACAAGGCACACACAAAGACCTGAGAGAAGGCCTCCATCGTCGCTCTGTTGTGTTGTTTGTGTGTGCTCGTCGGTTTTCTCCCACAGCAACTAGATTGTGCAATTGGGGAAAACCTTATGTTAGCACGAGACGTAGCAAGAACTATGCTATCCACCACGGCGACCACGGTGGGTTCAACGTGCGCACAAAATTTGGCGGGAACTCGAACACAAAACAGCTGCCTGCAGCAGTGCAAGTCAGTGACACACACCACACCACACCACACAAAGCGAGCAGATCCTTTGTTGTGCGGCAAGTCTCATTGCAGAAGCAGAAGAAGGACGAGCAGAAGAAGGACGAGAAGACGAGAGACAACACAAAGGAGCAAACGGCTGCCCAAACACACACATACATACACACACATACACACATACAAGAACGATGGCTGATTCGTCCAACCCACCCAGCTCCCCTGGGGAGCGTCCATCCTCTCCTCCATTCAGTGAAGGTGTGTGCGTGCGTGTGTGCATGCGTGTAGGGGGGGGGTGCGTGTGGGTCTGTCTGTCTGCCTGTCTGTGTGCGTGCGTGTGCATCTCTGCAAACACACATGAGCACACGCACACGCACGCGCACCTCCCCGTTTTTGACGTCTGCTGCTCTCTTGTCTCACTTGCTCTCTTCCACAAACACATCACACACTCAGGATACCGCTACGATGATGAGACAGAGGATCTGCAGCAGCAGCAAGCTGGCGAGGACGTCGAGGAAGAGGAAGAGGGAGAGGAGCTGTTTGGAGATGACATGGCTCGGTAGGCCTATGGGTTTGCCTAGTGCTGGTCACGGTGTTGCTGGTGATGGTGTTGCCGTTGGTGGCGGTGCAGTTGCTGCTCAAGCTGCGCAGTGGCCGACCGTTGCCCTTACTAACTGCATGCCTCCCTCTCACGTGCCTCACACAATTTCACCTGTGCCGTGTGATCTGTACCATTCGTTCGCTGGACAGCGATTACCGTGTGATTCCCCAGTTGGATACCTACGACCCGAACATGCTCGACGAGTCAGAGCAGCGCGAGCTGTCACTGGTGAGAGCTCACTCACACTCACACTCACACTCACACTCACACTCACACTCACACTCACACTCACACTCACACTCACACTCACACTCACACTCACACTCACACTCACACTCACACTCACACTCACACTCACACTCACACTCACACTCACACTCACACTCACACTCACACTCACACTCACACTCACACTCACACTCACACTCACACTCACACTCACACTCACACTCACACTCACACTCACACTCACACTCACACTCACACTCACACTCACACTCACACTCACACTCACACTCACACTCACACTCACACTCACACTCACACTCACACTCAGCAGAGTGCTTGAATCATGTGCTTGTTGTACGTCCTTGTCTTCTCAACCCGCTATTCCGTTCCTGTCAAATGCTTGCGTGTGTTATGCTTGACAGAACGCCCGTGCGCGGGTGGAGCGCCAGCTTGCCAAGCGCGACGCAGATGAGGCCATGCGCGTTCGCGGCAAAACACGCCTTCCCGCAGGCCTTGGCTTTGGTGGTGCGTGGTAACACATCACATCGACACACACACACAACCCCCATCACCACAGAAGCAAATCGCATGCAATGCACGCACGCACACGCTCACACACACACACACACACTCTCTCTCTCTCTCTCTCACACACACACACACACACACGCACACCATACACACATTTGTGCACCCGCCACTCATAATCTCCAACCCTGTCCTGTAACTGACACCTTTTGTCCCCGCTTCCAACCCCGTCGCATCACTTTTTGTCTCTGTAGATGATGAGGAGGAAGACACTGGCGAGCTGCCGCGTCGCCGCCGCCGTATTGCTGAGCGATCCGCACGTACAGCCGAGGGCGAAGAGGACACGGAGTTCCAGGAGGACCAGGACTATGTACGCGCACGCCTGCTGAGGCTTCGCTTCACTGTCTTGCCTCTCCTCGCTCTGAGTTTCTTCTCCCCCCATTTGCTGGCCGTAGCGTTGTGTGCTCACCGCACCTCCTTGCTTCCCTGTCTGCTTTGCCCCAGGCTGAGGACGAGACCATCATCGAGAACCTCGAGGATCGCAAAGGTGCATATGTGTGTGTGTGTGTGTGTGTGTGTGGATAAGTGCACATGTGTGCGTTTGCTGGGGCAGAGCTGAGTCTTCTGCACCGTTTGCTGTTGCTCACAGCATGTGTGCATGTTCCGTCACGTTTGCAGGCCACACGCTGCGGGAGTGGATCACAATGCGCCCGACACAGCGTGAAATCTACAACCGCTTCAAGAACTTCCTCCGCACAGCCACAGACGACCACGTACGTAGTGCACATGTGTGTGTATACGTGTGTGTACGTGTGTATACGTGTGTGCACGTGTGTGCACGTGTGTGCACGTGTGTGCACGTGTGTGCACGTGTGTACGTGTGTGCACGTGACTCACCTGGGGCTACAGGTCACCATGACGAGCTGTCTGTGCTGTCACGCTCCTGCCCTCACCCCTGCCCCACCAATGCTCACATGCCGCGCCATCTATGTTCGCGTCTGCTGTCCACCGCAGGGCAAGTCAATCTACGGCAAGCGCATTCGCGACATGTGCGAAGCAAACGGCGAATCACTCATTGTCAGGTGAGCACGCAGACACGCACGCACGTAGCTGTGCAAGCTTTCTCGCATTTGCAAGCCCACATGCTTGCGCTCGCTCGCACATATACACACACGCTCGCACACACAAACCAATACATACACGTGCGTCCATGTCCATCATCTCGCCGCCTCACAGCCATCCCCTTCACGCATACGGCTTGCAGCTACATTGACCTTGTGCAACCATCTGCCTGCGATTGCAATCTTCGTTGCGGATGCACGACGGAAAACATCGAGAATCTCGACGCGCTGCCATGACGTCTCCTCGAACAATTTCCAAAGTCCGTACAACGCTGTCTGCCTGCGTGTGTGTATGTGTGTGTATGTGTGTGTGTGTTTGTTTTGTTTGTTTGTTGATGTGTTCGTGCTGTGGGTATGCGTTTGGCCGCCCGTGCTCCAGTGCACACACACTATCGGATCTCGACCCACTCACCCAACAGCCTGGGGCACACTCACACACTCACCCTCACCACCACTGCCACCGTCTCGACTGCAGACTACGACCGCATCAAGAGTGACATCCACGTGCGCATTGGAGCGCTGCCTGTGCTTGATGCCATCCGCGACATTCGCCAAACACATCTCAATGCACTGGTCAAGCTGCAGGGTGTCGTCACCCGCCGCACAGGCGTCTTCCCACAGCTCAAGGTGCCGTTCCTCCACCCACTGCACGCCGCAATGGCTGTCTGCCGATCTGTGTCTGTCTGTGTCTGTCCGGCTGTCGTGTTTGTGAGAAAAGTGTGTGGTTTGTCATCCTGGACAGGGGAGTTGAAATTGCTCATTAACGCCCCACCCCCCACCCTCCACCCTCACATGCATTGTTTGTTGCCCTGCGCTTGCCACTTGTATGTGCATGTGTGTAGCTTGTGAAGTACACTTGCGAAAAGTGCAAGTCTCCGATTGGCCCCGTTGCACAGGACACAATCACCGAAACCTCCGTCGCCAACTGCCCAACTTGCCAATCCCGCGGCCCGTTCTCGTCAGTCCATGTTCTGATGTGTTGTCCCTGCCTTGCGTTTGTGTGGGGATGCATGAATGTGTGGTATCGTTTGCTCACCCACTCACTCACTCACTCACTCACTCACTCACTCACTCACTCACTCACACACTCACTCACTCACTCACTCACTCACTCACTCACTCACTCACTCACTCACTCAAAAATCCTCGACCATTGCGTTGCATCTTGTCGCACGGACAGGGTGAACACGGAGGAGACGGTGTACCGCAACTACCAGCGCATCACAATCCAGGAGTCGCCCGGGTCCGTTCCGCCGGGCCGCCTCCCGCGCCAGAAGGACGTCATCCTCCTCTGGGATTACGTCGACTTTGTCAAGGTACTGCTGTTGTCTCACCTGCTTCCTACACCTGCTTCCTACACCTGCTTCCTACACCTGCTTCCTACTTGTCTCACCACGGTTGTATGTGTCTGTCTGTCTGTCTGGCTGTGTGTGTGTGTGTGCCTGTGTGTGTCTGTGTCTGTATGTCTGTGTTTGCTCACCTGCCTACCTGTGGTGCTGCTCCCCTTCTGTTTTTCCCTCGTCTCACCATGTTCCCACCACTGCCACCTGTTTCTCCCCGTGCTCTTGCCCTGGTACGACGACACTGTCGTCAGCCTGGCGACGAAGTTGAGGTGACGGGCATCTACCGCAACAACTTTGACAAGTCCCTCAACTCCAAGCACGGCTTTCCTGTGTTCTCAACCGTCATCGAAGCAAACTACATTGAGAAGAAGGCCGACAAGCTCTCCACGGTACGCACTCATGCTGATTCTTTTGTTTGTTGGTGTGGGTGTGTGTGTGTGTGTGTGTGTGTGTGTGTTTTCACCTGTTCGCTTGTGTCAGCTGCGATCCTTTGTTCCTCCCCTATTGCAAGGACCCTGCGAACTCTTGTCTTGCTGTTCTCACATCCCTCTCAACTCACTGCAACACGCCACACTCCGAATACACACACATTCCACACACACACACACGCGCGCGCGCACACACACACACACATACACACACACCACCGTGACCGCTGTGCCACTGCAGGACGAGCTGAGCGACGACGACATCAAGCGCATCCGGCAGCTTGCGGAGGACGAGAACATTGGCGCCAAGGTCATCCGCAGCATCGCCCCCTCCATCTACGGCCACGACGACATCAAGACCGCCATTGCCCTCGCCATGTTTGGCGGCGAGCCAAAGAACCCGGGCGGCAAGCACCGCGTGCGCGGGGACATCAACGTGCTGCTGCTTGGCGACCCTGGCACGGCCAAGTCGCAGTTTCTCAAGTATGTGGAGAAGACGGCGCACCGCGCGGTGTTTACGACAGGACAAGGTGCATCTGCTGTTGGTCTCACGGCGTCTGTGAGCCGCGATCCCGTCACGCGGGAGTGGACGCTGCAGGGCGGCGCGCTCGTGTTGGCGGACCAGGGCGTGTGCCTCATTGACGAGTTTGACAAGATGTCTGACCAGGACCGCACGAGTATCCACGAGGCCATGGAGCAGCAGAGCATCTCCGTGTCCAAGGCCGGCATTGTGACGACGCTGCAGGCGCGGTGCTCTGTCATGGCCGCCGCCAACCCCATCAAGGGCCGCTACCAGCCGGGCAAGACGTTTGCCCAGAACGTGGACCTGACTGAACCCATTCTCTCGCGTTTTGACATTTTGTGCGTGGTGAAGGATGTGGTGGACGCCGTCAAGGACGAGCGCCTGGCCTCCTTTGTTGTTAACAGCCACATCAAGAGCCACCCAGCAAGCAACGTGCGTCGTCTGTTTGCGTGATTGGCGGGTGGTTTTGTATGTGTGTGTGTGTGCCTGCCTGCCTGTATGTATGTTTGTTTGTTTGTTTGTGTTTGTCTGTGTGTGTGTACTTGTATTTGTGCAGTGCATATGTGTGTGTGTCAGTGATACAAGCGGGCTCGTGTGACGCGCTGAAGACTTTGCAAATCCTGCAGTGTTCACTACCGTCATCCCAACCCTCAACCCAACCCCCAACCAACCAACTCACCTCAACCGCCCCCCCCCTCCCCCCTTTCACTATTGACAGGCGATGGACGAGTCTGCGGATGGGCTGAACGGGACGAGCGACGGCGGGAGCCTGTCGCAGGAGATGCTTCGCAAGTACATCCAATATGCCAAGCGCACCGTGCACCCGAAGCTGCAGCAAATGGATCAGGACAAGATTGCCAAGCTGTATGGCGAGCTGCGACGGGAGTCCCAACTCACGGGCAGCGTGCCCATCACCGTGCGCCACATTGAGTCGATGATTCGCATTGCAGAGGCACACGCGCGCATGCATCTGCGGGACTACGTGCGCCAGGACGACGTCGACATGGCGATCCGCGTCACCCTCACCAGCTTCATTGAGTCGCAGAAGTTCAGCGTGATGAAGAACATGCGGCGAAAGTTCCAGAAGTACATCACGTACAAGAAGGACAACAACGAGCTGCTGATGTTCCTGCTGTTGAATCTTCACCAGGAGACACTGTCGTTCCACCAGACGCGCTACAACCAGGACATTCCCGAAGTCATTGAGATTGACCAGGACGAGTTCCAAGCAAGGGTGCGTTGCCGCATGTGCAGCTGCAGCTGCTGCGTTTGGATTGTGACGTGTGTGCGTGTGCGTATGCATGTCTGTGTGTGTGTGTGTGTATGTGTATGTGTGTCCGCGTATGTGTCTGTGTGTGTGTGTGTGTGTGTGTGTTGGAACGGTGGGATTGGGATAACAGCAACAGCAGCAGCAACAACAACAGCAGCAGCAACTGCAGCAGCAACTGCAGCGGTGGAGATGCTGGTGCTGGTGCTGGTGCTATTTTGCTGTGTACTGTCGACAGGAAGCGCGCTCACTCGTACATAATTTGCTTGCTGTTCGACCAGGCGCGGCATCTGGACATTCATGACCTCACAGAGTTTTACAAGTCGGAGGAGTTCTCACGCAACACACGCCGATACACCTACACTTACACACACGCACACACAACACATGCACGCAACACATGCACGCACACACACGCACACACAACACACGCACACACAACACATGCACACACTGTGTTATCCCGCCTCTCTCTCCCTCTCTGTGCACATGTTCCACTAATCCCCCTCCTAATCTCTTGTCTTGTTTGCATGTTGTGGGTTCAGGTTCTCCTTGGACGGAAACAAGATCAAGAAGACATACGAGTAATTGCACACGTTCATGTTTCAGTCACCATCATCATCAGCAGCATCATCAGCAGCACGAGCAGCATTATCACGTTCATCTTGCGATCAGGCGTCTGTCTGTTTGTCCTACTCACTTGCTTGTTTGCTGCTTGCACTCTTCATCGCTGCTGCTGCTGCTGCTCATTGCGCCTATGGCTTGCCGCTGTTCATTTTTCTCTTGTTAGTTTGTCGTGCAGCTGCGCTTGTTGTCAATCCCCTCTTTGCCATGTTCGCCTTGCCTTTTTGTGTGACTGTGTGCGTGTGATAGTAGCGAGGCCTGCGCCAGTGGCGGCGGGCGGGCGGTTTGAGCATACAAATTGTGTACTGACTTGCACACGCAATTGTGTTGAAACAAGTGCTGGCCACAACCAGCACAGCACAGCACAGCACAGCACATTGCCATGGCACATACGGCACATTAGAGCGCATGCAGGTCCACGCAGCGCCACACCGAAACGCCACGCCGCGTCCTCCACCTCCATCTCTCCTTTGAGAAGTTAAAAAAAATCTACATCTGATTGCACGAGCATCTGCCGCTGCTGGTGGCTAGAACGTGGGTGCTGCGCGAACGCATGCGTCCACGCGCTGCCGGAGCTGCGCCAGCGTGCCGTCGTTTGCGATGATGTGGTCGGACAGCTTGACCTTCTTCTCCAGCGGCATCTGCGTAGCGATGATGCGCCGTGCGTCCTCCGCGGTCGTCAGGTCTCTGCCCATGACACGCTGCACTTGCTGCTCCTCCGTACACGACACGGTGATTACCCACTTGCAGATGTGGTTCAGGCCGGTCTCCAGCAGCAGCGGCGCATCGAGCACCACAAAGGGCCGCCAGTGAAGGAAGCGGGCCGACAGCAACTGCTGCAGCAGCTCAAACCCGATTGGCAGGTGCAGCGCCTTGTTGAGCTTCCGCGATACACTGCGGTCCTCAAATGCAATTTGCCGCAGCACACTCCGGTTCACTTGCCCAGACTCTGTGTCCAATAACTCTGGTCGCTCTGCAATCTCTTTGGCGAAGGCCGCGACGAACCGTCGGTAGCCCCATCTTCCACGCAGCAGCACGTTGTGGCTAATGGCATCCGCGTCAATCACCACGGCACCCTTTTCCGTCAGCATCTTGCACACTGTCGACTGCCACGTTTGCAATGGAAACAGGGGAGGGGGTGTGAAGATGAGTTTGTGTGTGTGTGTGTGTGTGCGTGTGTGTGAAGATGTGTGTGTGTGTGTGAAGATGTGTGTGCAGACGTACATGTGTGTGTATCAACACAGACAACATGAGCTGTGTGTTGGGTGACATTGAGCAAAGTGGCACGTGTCTGTGCACGGGCGCATGTGCCACACCTTGCCGCAGCCAACGCCGCCGGTCAAGCCAATGACGCGAAAGCGGGAGAAGAAGATTGCCAGCGACGTCGCAGCGAGCAGGCTTGGCCAGTGCGCCAGTCCAAACACGCCGAGATCCAGTGCGAAACAACAGGTCCCTGCCAACAGTGTGCCGTACCGAACCCGGTCCAACAACAACCCAGCGCTGGCAGAGATGAGGCCAGCCGCCAGCCTCGCCACCACCATCAGCACCATGTGTCCGTGCGTGTCTGTGTGTGTGTGTGTGTGTCTGTGTCTGTGTGTCTGTGTGTGTCTGTGTCTGTGTGTCTGGGTGTGTGTGTGTCTGTGTGTCTGTGTCTGTGTGTCTGTGTCTGTGTCTGTGTGTGTCTGTGTTGCTTGTTTTGCCTTTGCTTTGCCTTTGTTGTGGCATTCAATTGTGCAACAACTGAAGTCAGTCGTCAGAAGAAAACGTGTGCAAACGCTCTCACTGCCACGATGGCTGATGATGATCAAGACGACACATCATCGTCGTTCCCCATCTTCCGCATCCAGCAAGACCGGCTGGAAGCCTACGCGCTGCTGGACAGGTGTGTGTCTGTGTGTGTGTCTGTGTGTGTCGCTGTGTGTGTCGCTGTGTGTGTCGCTGTGTGTGTCGCTGTGTATGTGTGTGTGAATGTGTGTGTG